CGGGGGGATAGGGAGAGGGTGGCAGGGATGAGGGAGGTTTGTGTAGCACTGTGAAGGGGTTGGAGAATGAGGATTGTAAAAGGGAGGTATTGCCTGACTGGGAGCCATTGGGGTGGTGGGGGCCTGTTGCCCCACCCCTAGGGGAGTGGGAGCGGGGGTTCCTTGTGGAAGTTTCACCCCACAGCTGAGATTTTATGGCCAGGCTGTGAGGGGCTTGGCTGGCAAGCCGTTCCAGACCAGCAAATCTCAACCTGCTGAGCCTGGGAGAGGGGGATTGGGCTTTGTTGAGGGTGGATGAGAGGCAGTGGCTGGTAATTGAGGGCGGTGGGGGGGTGGGAGCACAGTTGATATTTGAGTTTGTCTCTCTCTCTCAAATGTGCACCTTCCTCCTCTGGGACTTACCTGTGGTTAAGGAGGTTTTCTGCAAAATGCAAATTGCAGTGTGAGAGGGAGGGAGACGGAGGGTGGAGGGGGGAAGGGAGGTTATGTGACCTGTGAGGAAGAGAACTTTCTGGTTTTAACCAGTCCTCACCACACCTCTTTTTTTTTGCTCAGAGAACCAGTTACTTTACTTCATAATTAATGATTGCCTGTGTAAAGTTGTGGGTAAGGGAGACTAGGATTGAACTCTCTCTCTCTCTCTCCTGCTGTTTCCAGAAGCTGTTGCGTTTTTGGGGACCCCCCCCCGCCTCCAGTAATGTGGAGGCTATTTTGTTTGTTTTTTATATTTATACCCTGCCCTGTCCTCTCGTGGATTTTGTTTTCCAATAGGCTGACTCTGATAGAGAACAAGAGGAAACAGTTCTGGCAGCTGTGGGATCGGTCTGTGCACTGTGACACCCAGCCCCCTCTTTTTATTTTTCCCCCAGAGGGTTTCGTACCCCCACCCCGGGCTATCCCCTCGCCTCCTGCCTGTGACCCCGCTGCAATAGGAGCACAGAGGACCCCCCCCAGCTGTTGTGTAGAGGCCATTCCTCCCCCCACCCACCTGTACTGGTGCTCTCCTGATTTACCATTTCTGCGCAAAAGGACGATTGAAGTGGTTTTTTAATAAAATTTTTTTTCTTTTTAAGAAAGCTTTGAGGGAGGCCCACCCCATGCCAGTACTGTAACCATTCTAGGACAGGAAGAGGCCATTTGGCCTATAGAGTCTGACCTCTCCCCATGGGATCTGCTACATATACTGCAGACAGACTTGGCTCCATGCTCGCTCGAAGATTACAGAATTGTGGGATTGAGAAATGGTGTGTGTGCGCATGTGTGTGTCTCTGTGATGCCAAACAGCTCTGATAGCATGGCAGAGAACTCCGAGGGGCTGAATGGCCTCCTGTTCCCACGAAACATGGCCGTACATGTGTGGGAGGAGAGAGTTGGGTTTGGGCTTGGGAATGGGAGTTCCTCTGTTTTGTTTGCTGTTGCTTCTCTGATATAACACCCCCCCCTCCCACTTCTCTCTCTCTCTTCCAGCCGCGCTTCAAGCCACCCGTGCGCTCATGGTGGTGGGTATCGTTGTTGGGGTCCTGGCTGTGGGCATCAGCTCAGTGGGTATGAAGTGTACCAAGTGTGGCGGTGATGACAAGGTGAAGAAATCTCGGATTGCGATGGGAGGTGGCATCACTTTTATCCTGGCAGGTGAGCCGGCTGGTATAACTCCCGTTTCCATCCTCGTGCCCATGTGCCATGGCAGCTTGCTGTCGGACACCCCCATGTGGCGGGGGGAGTACGGACACAGGAGCCAGGCTGTTCAGCCCCCTCAGACCTGCTGTCCCTTGGCCATGCATGAGGTTTTGACCCCCTCAATGCCACTTCCACCCCCCTCCCCCTCCCGTCCCCAACAACACCCCGTCGTTTCTTCAATATTTGGAATCCATCAATTATCCCCGTCTGGCATCTACTTAATGACTGACCTTCCGCAGCCCTCTGGAGAAAGGTGGGGGGTGCAGAATTCCAAAGATGTACGCTTTGAGTGAAGCTGCCCCTCTCTCTCCCGGTCCTGGGTACACCCCTCACTCACCAGGGAGCTTTGTCCTTTCCATGTCTACCTGGTCGATCCACCAGGAGAGGGATTCACACCTCCTCTGTCACCTCCTCTAGCCTCTTGACCAACCCCTCTCTTTCCCCCCCCGCCCCCCCACAATCCCCATCGGTCTACCATTGGTGGTCATGGCTTTAACTGCCTGGTCCCCAGCCTCTGGAATTCCATCCCTAAACCTTTTTCTGTTTTCCTTTGTCTCTCTCTGTCTCTAGTTTTTTTTTGTTTTAAAACGCTTTCCCTTCTGGATTTCTCGACCCTGCCCCAGGTGCCCGTCCCACAGAGGGTTCAATGCCACTCCATTCCATCAGGTTGTCAGAGTTTCATGCTTTGGGTAGCCTGAGGTTGTTTTGAATGCGGGGAAGGGTTCTCTCCGTCTCGGCTCTGATCCCTGTTGATGTGCTACTTGCCAGCTAACTGTCCATCTGTCTCCTTCCCTCCCCCTAGGACTCTGTGCTCTTATTGGTGCGTCTTGGTACGGCAACCAGATAGTTCGAGATTTCTACAACCCACTGACTCCAGTCAACACCAAGTAATTACTCTCTCACGCACTGTCTCTCTCGCGTGTTCTGTGTGTGTGTGTGTGTGTGTGTGTGTGTGTATGTCTGTGTGAAATCTAACTTCCCCCCCCCACCTCTGCTTGCAGGTACGAGTTTGGATCTGCGATCTTCATCAACTGGGCTGGAGCCGCCCTTATTCTGATCGGTGGTGGCATGCTGAGTTGCTCGTGCCCGAAGAAGAACAGTTACCCCCGATCCTACCCCAAATCCAAGGCCCGCTCCAACCCCAGCAGCAGCAACAAGGAATTTGTATGAACCTTTTAGCTGCTCGATTTGTAGCCCTGGGGAGAAAGGAACTACACTTGCACCCGGTCGGAGATGTTTGTTACAACTTGGAAACCCTTCTCGAAGGAGCATAGCTAACCACTGGTCAACTTTTTTGAAGGGGAGAGAAATTGCATTTGTGTAACGCCATGTAAATTTCTGCTTAGGACTGTATTTTTTTTAAATTAATCTCACGATAAGCCTGTAGAATTGTGATTTTTGTGTTTAGTGTTTTTAGGAACCTTTTTCTTACAAAACCTTACAAAAATAAGGGGCTGGGTTGGGATGGGGCAAGGCTGACTTATTGTCACCCATCAGTAAATTTGAGGAGTGAGTTTTATTTTGAAATGTGGAACTGAACACGAGGTGGCTTGAGTGGAATTCCCTTTCCTCGCATTCTAATTTAAACGTGTGTCCGACTATTTCAGTCTGCCTCGTGTCCTGGGCCCTTTGAGATTATGGGATGTTAGATGGGTGGGGGGGAGGAATTGAAATGCTCAGCCTGGAGCCATGGAGGTCCATTGAGTGTGTGATGTTCTAAAAGCAGTCTGATTCTGTGTTTTTTTTTCTAAATCAACAGTTCTGAGATAGATCGCTTAGTTTTTTAATCGTGATATAAACCTCTCCAGTTCCCTATGAGCATCAGCTTTTGAAGAGGTTTGAAGTCTTTGCTGCTGTGCAGAACTCAATGGGCCACATGGCCTTCTTCCACACTGTAGGGATTCTATGAAGAATTTTTTCCTTTATTTTTAAACGCACCCTTGTCAGCAGGACCCTGTTTTCCCCCTTCCAGCAGTGCCTGAATCAACCTCTCTCGTTCTCTCTCCTCGTCCCACTTCAAACGGCCTACCTGCCACTCAGAATCTTAGCTCCATTCCCTCACCATTTTCAAGTTTCTATCTTTAACTGGGGTAGAGGAGTTGACCAGGAAGAGGATGATCCCAGAGCGAAGAGTAGTTATCTCAGGAACCTGTCACAAATTTCCAAGCTAAATCAATGCTTTTTTTTTAAAAAAGAAACTGCTCTTGATCACAAACCAGGAGTTGGGGGTTTATTAAGAGTTTAAGAATTTTTTAAGAAATGGATTGTAGCTGTACATTTTTGTTATAAATAAATATTTTAATTGTGTCTCTCCGCGTGTGTGTGTCTCATCAGGAATACCTCTCAGTTTGGAGGTCAGGGGTTGTACTTGTTCCTGTGGGTGCTGACCCCTGGAGTTATCAGCCTCGCGTCTTCCTTGCTGTGCAATCTTCCCTGTGCTGGCTGAGGAATTTGGAATGGGAGTAGGCCATTCAGCCCTTTAGAGCCTATCCTGGCCAATTTTGAAACTTCCAATGTATTGATCTTGGCCTTTTTAAGATGCCCTGCTATAGGGGCTGAGCTCCCACACCTGTCTGAGGGAGCATGTTCCAACAGTTGGCTGAAAGATTTATTTCTGAATTTTTTCAGAGAATGTGGGATTTGCTGGGCAACCTGTTGCCCATTGAGACAGAGACAGAGACTCCAAGGGTATGTGTCTCACTGTGTCATTTCACAGTCAAAAATAAAGAACTGCAGGGTTCTGGAAATCCAAAACAAAAACTGAAATTTTTCCGAGAACACCAGCAGGTCTGGAACTATTGAAAGAGAGAAGGCGGAGTTGAATGTTTTGAATCCAGCAACCCCAAATTCATAACAGAAATAACCACGTTGGCTATGAGTCTGGGGTCCTTTTTTAGAACGTAGAACATTACAGCGCAGTACAGGCCCTTCGGCCCTCGATGTTGCGCCAACCTGTGAAACCAATCTGAAGCCCATCTAACCTACACTATTCCATTATCATCCATATGTTTATCCAATGACCATTTAAATGCCCCTAAAGTTGGCGAGTCTACTACTTTTGCAGGCAGGGCATTCCACGCCCTTACTACTCTCTGAGTAAAGAACCTACCTCTGACATCTGTCCTATATCTATCACCCCTCAATTTAAAGCTATGTCCCCTCGTGCTAGCCATCACCATCCGAGGAAAAAGGCTCCCACTGTCCACCCTATCTAATCCTCTGATCATCTTGTATGTCTCTATCAAGTCACCTCTTAACCTTCTTCTCTCTAACGAAAACAGCCTCAAGTCCCTCAGCCTTTCCTCATAAGACCTTCCCTCCATACAAGGCAACATCCTGGTAAATCTCCTCTGCACCCTTTCCAATGCTTCCACATCCTTCCTATAATGTGGTGACCAGAACTGTACGCAATACTCCAAGTGCAGCCGCACCAGAGTTTTGTACAGCTGCAACATGACCTCATGGCTCCGAAACTCAATCCCTCTACCAATAAAACCTAACACACCGTACGCCTTCTTAACAACGCTATCAACCTGGGTGGCAACTTTCAGGGATCTATGTACATGGACACCGAGATCTTTCTGCTCATCCACACGACCAAGAATCTTACCATTAGCCCATTAGTACTCTGTGTTCCTGTTACTCCTTCCAAAGTGAGTCACCTCACACTTTTCCACATTAAACTCCATTTGCCAGCTCTCAGCCCAGCTCTGCAGCTTGTCTATGTCCCTCTGTAACCTGCAACATCCTTCCGCACTATCCACAACTCCACCGACTTTGGTGTCATCCGCAAATTTACTAACCCATCTTTCTACGCCCTCATCCAGGTCATTTATAAAAATGACAAACAGCAGTGGCCCCAAAACAGATCCTTGAGGTACACCAGTAGTAACTGAACTCCAGGATGAACATTTCCCATCAACCACCACCCTCTGTCTCCTTACAGCTAGCCAATTTCTGATCCAAACTGCTAAATCACCCTCAATCCCATGCCTCCGTATTTTCTGCAATAGCCTACCATGGGGAACCTTATCAAACGCTTTACTGAAATCCAAATACACCACATCAACCGCTTTACCCTCATCCACCTGTTTGGTCACCTCAAAGAACTCAATAAGGTTTGTGAGGCACGACCTACCCTTCACAAAACCGTGTTGACTATCCCTAATCAAATTATTCCTTTCTAGATGATTATAAATCCTATCTCTTATAATCCTTTCCAACACTTTACCCACAACCGAAGTAAGGCTCACTGGTCTATAATTACCAGGGTTGTGTCGACTCCCCTTCTTGAACAAGGGGACAACATTTGCTAGTCTCCAGTCTTCTGGCACTATTCCTGTAGAAAATGATGACATAAAGATCAAAGCCAAAGGCTCTGCAATCTCCTCTCTAGCTTCCCAGAGAATCCTAGGATAAATCCCATCCGGCCCAGGGGACTTATCTATTTTCACACCTTCCAGAATTGCTAACACCTCCTCCTTATGAACCTCAATCCCGTCTAGTCTAATAGACTGTATCTCAGTATTCTCCTCGACTACATTGTCTTTTTCCTGTGTGAATACTGACGAAAAATATTCATTTAGCACCTCTCCTATCTCTTCGGACTCCACGCACAACTTCCCACTACTGTCCTTGACCGGCCCTAATCTTACTCTAGTCATTCTTTTATTCCTGACATACCTATAGAAAGCTTTAGGGTTTTCCTTGATCCTACCTGCTAAAGACTTCTCATGTCCCCTCCTGGCTCTTCTTAGCTCTCTCTTTAGGTCCTTCCTGGCTAACTTGTAACTCAAGCGCCCTAACTGAGCCTTCACGCCTCATCTCTACATAAGCCTCCTTCTTCCTCTTGACAAGGGATTCAACTTCTTTAGTAAACCACGGTTCCCTCGCTCGACCACTTCCTCCCTGCCTGACAGGTACATACTTCTCAAGGACACGCAGTAGCTGTTCCTTGAACAAGCTCCACATTTCAATTGTGCCCAGCCCCTGCAGTTTCCTTCTCCATCCAATGCATCCTAAATCTTGCCTCATCGCCTCATAATTGCCTTTCCCCCAGCTATAACTCTTGCCCTGCGGTATATACCGATCCCTTTCCATCGCTAAAGTAAACGTAACCGAATTGTGGTTTAGACCAGACTGGCTAATGAGGGACAGATGTTTGCCCTGAAATGGGGAGTGTTGATCTGCTGGGGGTGGGCCGTGAGGTTTACAGTATTTTGATGATAGGTTTTTGTGGTCGCTGTCACTGAGAGTTCTTTAAATTCTAGAAGAGAGAGAGAGAGAGAGAGAGAGAGAGAGAGAGAGAGAGAGAGATGGAATTGGAAACGAATATCCTGTTGAGCTTCCGAACCTGAGGGAGAACACAGGTGACCGACAGAAATTCAAATCCCACCTCAAGCTGCTGGTGGAACCTGAGTGCGTGAAACCATGTCTTTTTAATAATTAGCTAAAATTAGGGGAGTAAAAAGTCACAAATCTCTCCAATATCATTTGGAAACCCCCTTCCCCCCCGCCTCCAAACTGTCCTTCAGGAAGGGAAATCTGCCATTCTTACCCAGTCTGGTCTGCATGTAACTCCAGGCCCTGCCGTGAAAGTTTGGAGTGCTACCACACTGCCTCCTCATGGGCAATTAGGGATGTGCAGCTTTCTGCCCATTTCAAATGAGGAGTCTTGCAATTTAATGGCACCTCTTCCCAACCTCCTGCCTCGCAGCCAATCGAGGGCTGTTTTCCAAGTGTGGTCACTGCTGGAATGTTGGTGCTGTGCCAACAATTGTGTACACAGCAAGATCCCGCAAACATTTTATTTTCCTCAGTCATAGGATGTGGGCGTCACTGGCCAGGCAGCATTTATTGCTCATCCCCTAATTGCCCAGAGGGCAGTTCAGAGTCAACCACATTGCTGTGGGTCTGGAGTCACATGTAGGCCAGACCAGGTAAGGATGGCAGTTTCCTTCCCTAAAGGGCATTAGTGAACCAGATGGGTTTTTCCGACAATGGATTCACGGTCATCATTAGATTCCTAATTCCACGTTCGAACCCGGGTCCCCAGAACATTATCCGGGTCTCTCGATTAACAGTCCAGCGATAATACCACTAGGCCATCACCTCCCCAGGCTGGACATCTGGATCATCGTTTTTTTTTCCGAATGATAAATAATGTTCCCCCACCAAAGACACTGGGGAGACCTCTTTCCCATTCAGAGATAGTAGGAACTGCCAATGCTGGAGAATCTGAGATAACCAGGTGTAGAGCTGGATGAACACAGCAGGCCAAGCAGCATCAGAGGAGCAGGAAGGCTGACGTTTCGGGCCTAGACCCTTCATCAGAAAGCCTCTTTCCCATATCCTGTTTGAAATGGGATCTTTCTCGTGTGAGAGAGGCCACTTCACCTTCATGTTTGCCCCCCTCTGGCAATGCAGCCTGGGAGCAAGGACAGAAAGTGATAGAGAGAGAGAGAGATGCACAGATAGAGAGGGGCACACACTGATAGAGACAGTCACACAGAGAGAAACACACATGGATAGAGAAATTTTATTTCAAGGGGATTGGAGTATGAGTCGGGAAGTCTTATTGCAACTGCACAAGGAACCAGTGAGACCATGTTTGGAGTACTGTGGGCGGTTTATGTCCCTCTCTTTAGGGACAGGTGGCTTAGAGATTGGTGGAGTTGTGGACAGTGCAGAAGGTTGATACAGTGGGATATAGATCAGTTGCAGATATGGAAGATCAAATATGAATGGCAGGACCCTGAACAGCATCGATGTACAGAGGGACCTCTGGGGACGGGCTAGCTTTATTCCTCCTTAACCTTAACGAATCCCACCATAACGAATTTCGAGCGCGACATGACGCTGAACTCTTCTTCCGCCGTCTTCGCCTCCAGGCCCATTTCTTTGGACAAGAGTCCTCTCCCACAGACCCCTTCGCCCAGTTCCAACACTCTCCCTCCATCTGGACCCCTCCCTCCGGCCTTTCACCTGGACTCGATGTGACATTAGTTGCCTCAATTTCGCTGCCCCTCTCACAAAATCCAACCTATCTCCCTCTGAACTGACTGTGCTCCGTGCACTCAGATCTAACCCTGACTTTGTCATCAAGCCTGCCGATAAGGATGGTGCTGTTGTAGTCTGGCGTACTGACACCTCTACCTTGCAGAGGCTGAGCGCCAGCTCTCAGATACCTCCTCCTACCTTCCCCTGGACCATGACCCCACCATGGCACATCAGGCCATTGTATCCACTATGGTTACAGATCTCATTTCATCTGGTGATCTCCCCCCATCCGCTTCCAAGCTAATAGTCCCCCAACCCCGCACAGCTCGTTTCTACCTCCTGCCAAAAATCCACAAACAGGACTGTCC